CCGCTCACTAAAGAGACCCGCATCGTCGTGCAGAGCCTGATGTATGCCTTGTGGTCCCGCTGGGGACATCCATGGCGGCCACGGCGCAAGTATGGCAATTACGCCATACGCTTACCTTATTTGTGGCAGCGATCCCCCACATACCGGACACGCGTGAGCAGGCTCACTAACGCCTGCCCCATACAGATTTGCCCAAAAAAAGTCCCCCTGGTGCCCCCCAAGACGGAAGGGGGGGAGGGGGGAGCCGGGGACAGGGGACCTGCATGTGAAAAACAAAAGGACGGAGGACGGGCCAGGAAGTACGCCCGTCACCCGCAACGCCGAGGCTTCGCCACCCAGCCGAAGGCTTCTGTGCGACCTTTACCTCGACAGAGCCCCTCGATTTAGTGTACGTCGCCAGGCACCAACTGCGCCAGCGAGTACCGTGAAGGGTAGCTGTCACGAGCAAGCCGACTTGCCAGGAGACCGTCTCTGGTCGCTCAAGAAATCGGCGGATGCGTGCTTTGCTAGGCTACGTCGCGTGCTGTGGACGCATGGGCGCCCCTGGGAAAAACAGCTTCGCGCACCCATCACGTCTTGCGGCACCAGCACGCACCCGAGGAGTGCGACGGGCCACTGGCCGCCGCCTCTTCTCAGCACCGGCCAGGTGCTCCACACTGCTGCCGGAAAAAAAAAATGCTGGCGAGGCCGAGGCCCGACTACAGCTCCCCCTCCCGCCCCTTCCCCGAGCCCCGGCCCTCGACTCTCCCGTCGGCGCCCTGGACTCCTGCCTGCCGCTCGCGAAGAGAAAGAAGCGCCATGAGCACAAACCTGTGGCGCTCCGCGCGGATCTCTTGGATCCGTGCCGGACCCCCCTCCCTGGCGCGCGGTGCGCGCCAGGGGCGCCGCCCCCACGCGGCCCAGCGCGGATCCAAGCAATCCGCGCGGAGCGCCAAAAGTGTCTGTGTATGGCGTTCTTTCTTCTTCGATGCTGCTCGGGCGGCTCCCTGGGCCGGTCCACCCCACCGGCCCCGAAGAGCTGCCGCTGCGCCGAATGAACCAGCTGCTGCCACGTCGGCACGTGCGCCTGCGATTAAATCGGGCATGTCCTCCTACAGGCGGATTGTTTAGAAGAAATGTGAGCAAGTATCAAAAAATACTCGAACAGAGTCAAAAATATTCAAAACATCGTCCCCAGACTATGCCTTTGCTATGTTTGGATACTCCTCCCGTAGAGGGGCATGCCCGACGTAACGCCTGCGAGGGTGCCACCGCCAGCGCGCCCTTGGCGAGGAGCGCCTCCGCAAGCGGGACCGCGCGGGGCGACGGCACCTCGCCCACGGCGAAGACGTGCCCTGGTAGAGGGCAGAAAATCCCCCAAAGAAATAATCACCCCCTCCTCCTCCTCCTCCTCCTCCTCCTCCTCCTCCTCCTCCTCCTCCTCCTCCTCCTCCTCCTCCTCGCTCCTCCTCGCTCCTCCTCCTCGTCCTCCTCCTCCTCCTCCTCCTCCTCCTCCTCCTCCTTCTCCTCCCCCTCCAATCACCCCGACGCGCGAAGCCGTTTAGTAAACGCACCCACAGAAGGAATCGAACTGGGCAGGGCTGTTTAGTCAACGCCACGAGCCGATTAGCAAACGCAAATATTATAGGGTATGGGTGATGTTTCCTCTCCTGGCCTGGGGCCGAGAGCATGAAGCGCAGCGCCTGGAGGTCCCCTGTTGGGAAAGTGCCGATGTTAGAAGCAGAAGAGACGGCATACACATAAGCTTTTGGCGCTCCGCGCGAACTTCTTGGATCTGCGTTGGGCCCCCCTACCTGGCGCGCGGAGCGCACAGGGGGCGGTGCTGGAGGCGCCGCTGGGGGGGGGGGCCCAGCGCGGATCCAAGAAATCCGCGCGGAGCGCCAACAGTTTACGCTCATGCCGTGTATTCTTATTCGAGATGTCCTTGCCGGAGACCCAGACGGACACACTGCCTACCGGTGGCCCTTTGAGGGGGCTCCGCTGACCGGCCACCAGGCCATGATGCTGGGGAACCAAGCCTCCGGACGGGACGAACACGACCTGGTCCGCCACTCGCCGCTGGAGCCGCAGCTCGGGCACAACGCCGCCGGCGGCGATGAGGCCGACGGCAGTAAAGAGCTCCTTGCGTACGAAGTGCATTGCTGTGCACTGCCGCAATCGCATGCCCTCGAGCAGGCTGCGCAGAGACTGGTTCGAGCTCAGAGCCGCACGAGCCGCCTCTGCGTTCCCAGACGGGCTGCTCAGCCGGCCCACGAGTTGGCGGTACTCTTCCCAGAGCTCGGACCACACCTCCGGCAGGACAAAGGTTCCATAGACCCATTCACCACCCGCTGCGGTTGTGGCCGCAGCCGTCGCCACGCTCGCATAATAAGACAGAAGCGGGCGCAGGGGCACCGCGCTTCGGATGTGTCCGTACGGGTCATGTTGGCCCTGTAGCTTGAGCCCTTCCTGGACCGCCTGTTGGAGCCACTTGCGCGTCTCCGAGGGAAGGGCCACTGTGGCTTGCGCCTCGGCCAGCATCTTGAAACCCTCGGCCCATGTGAACTGCTCGCTGGCTACCGACACGCTCATGTGCACGGAGTGCGCACCTTCGGTAAGGAAGGCCTGATGAGGGGTACCCCTCGGCAGGTACAAAACGTCGCCAGGTGACATGTGAACACGCATGCAATCCCCGTCAGGGATCTGGAGCTTGCTCCGCTGAAAGTCGCTGCCAGCGGCCAAGTATGGAGAAGGTTTGCAGACCCTCCAGTCCTTGAAGCCCGCAATCTGCAACACGGCAATATCCTCCAAATCGATGTGCGTCGAGAATGCACCCGAATGTTCATGCTTGGTTCTTGGTGTCCATGGCGGGCTCCAATACAAATTTGCGTATACGACCATTCCAAGCATTTCTTCGAGACGCCTACAGAATGCCTGCGTCCCAGAGTGGAAGCGGTCGATGCTCATGACCGCAAGCGTCAGTCCTTCCCGAAACGACTCGTAGATTGGAAGCCCCTGGCCTCTTAGCTCCAAGATCCGATGGTCCAACGGCTCGCCGTTGAGCGAAAGCCGCACGTCTCTGCCAACTTTCCAATACGGAGAGAACGTGGCCTGCATTTCGTCGAAATCGTCCAGGCGGAAGATGTGGTCGAAGGCGCCCGAGAGATTCCGCGAAGCATGGGCCGGCCGCCGCTCCCAGTGGCTGCAGAAGTCCCCCGGGAGCTCTGGGAAGCTTGACACGTCGCACTTCAGGCTGCCTCGCGCCGGAGCCGGCCCGACTGCCTCGTCCTGGAGGGGAAGATATCAGAGAGCAGGAACTCCACCCTCATCAGAATCACCCCGACACGCGAAGCCGTTTCGTAGACGCACCCTAGCAAGGAATCGAACAGGGCAGGGCTGTGTAGTAAACGCCCAGGGCCGTTTAGTAAACCCCAATCAACTTGCCCGGCTGCTTGTTCCTCCCTCGACTAGCGGGGACCGTGACCAGGACTGAACGCGGGAACGTCGCTTCGATCTTGGTCACCGTCGAACTTTGTCAGCGTCAATTCGTGGATCATCCTCGCGAATCGGCGACGGCCGTCATGGACCATGACCAGGATCGGCGTCGACAAGGCCCCGCGACGCCTTCGTCACGCTGAGTGTGTTTCTCCTCTCGACGTCCGCCGCAGGGCGCGAGGAGCGGCTCGACTGCGCGTCCCGGCCGAACGCGGAGGAGACCACTGGAGCCGGCCCCGCAGGCGCCCGCAGAGGCCACGCCAGAATGAGCGGTCCTGCGAGGCCGCGCGCCATAGCGCTTCGAGGCCCTGTTGGTCTTGGGCCCCTCTTCTGCGGCTGTCTTGAGCTGAATCGTGACTGACGACTGCGGATGGAAGAAAAGGAGGAGGCGGAGGAGGAGAGGGAGGTGATGACGGATGGAAAGAAACATCATGCTGGGCAGGATGACGGACTCGAAGAGGAGGAGGCAGAAGAATGAGGATGGTGAGGAGGTGAAAGGATGAGGATGAGGTGGGCAGGAGAGGAGAGAGTGACCAAGTGGCAGGCTGCTGTGACGAACAGTGCGGGGACCTGGAAATCCACAAGGACCTCACCGCGCGGTCCGTCGTACAGTTCTGGGACCTCCGAGGCCCCAGTCCACCGAGGCGCATTCCGAGAACGGCCCAAGTCCCTGGACCGCGCGGTCACCCCGAATCCCCAGTGACTCACCACACGGTGTGGCCGCGGAGCAGCGCTTCCCCTTCCGACCTTGTCAACTTGTTCCCATCTGCGCAACCCACAACTGGTGAGAGGCCTCCTGGGTGCGCATAATTGGGATATCTTGGGATGCCTGAGGGTCCTCTCGGAGTGCTCTGCGGAACTTCTTTGGGCCTCTCTCGAAGCACGTATTCAACGACGACGACCGGCGGCGGCGGCGGCGGCGGCGACGACGACGACGACGACGACGACGACGACGACGACGACGACGGCGGCGGCGGCGGCGACGACGACGGCGGCGGCGGCGGCAACGGCGGCGGCGGCGGCAGCGGGAGTGACGACGACGACGACGACGGCGACGACGGCGACGACGACGACGACGACGACGACGACGACGACGACGGCGACAGCGGCGGCGGCGACGGCGGCCCACAGCCGCGGAAGCGCGGGCAGAGGCCCGGCCTCGAGGGGCCGCCCCGCGGAGGGCGCCGCGGCGCCAGGCGCGCGCCGCGCCTGCCGCGCGACGACCGCCGAGGCGTCGGTGACGCCGCCGCGGGCTTCGCCGTCGCCGTCGCCGTCGTCGGCATATCCTCGCCGCCGCCGCCTCTGCCGAGGAGGAGGAGGAGGAGGAGGAGGACGAGGAGGAGCACGAGGAGGACGAGGAGGAGGAGGAGGAGGAGGTCATCTCCGCCGCCGCCGCCAGCAACAACGCCGACACCGTCGCCGCCGCCGCCGCCGTCCTCGGCACGGTGCCGGCGTGCTCGCCGTCACCGCCGCCGCCGTCTCCGTGGCCGCCGCCCCGCCGGCGCTGCCTGGGGGCGGGGCGAGGAGGAAAGAGACAAAGGTCGAGCGGCAGAGTCGAGTCGAAGAAGCCGCGCCCCGCCCGACGCGTTCGCGTCACGGACGAGGAGGTCAGCTCCTGGATCGGCGCCGGCCCCACGGGCGTGTCGCACGGCATGGTGTGGGCCGAGCCTGGCGCGGCCGCTCATGCCGTCTCCCCCCTCCCCGGCTCCTGCTGCTCCCGCTGCTCCTGCTGCTCCTGCTCCTCCTTCTCCTCCTCCTCCTCCTCCTCCTCCTCCTCCCCGGCCTCGCTCATCCTCCTCCTCATCACCATCATCAGCCATCAGCCATCAGCCATCAGCCATCATCATCAGGATCAGCATCAGCATCAGCATCATCAGCATCATCAGCATCATCATCATCATCATCCTCATCACCACCAGCAACAACCACAACAACAACAAAAACAACAACAACAACGACAACAACAACAACAACAACCACAACGACGACGACGACGACGACAACAACAACGACGACAGCAACAACAACATCATCGTTCTTCTCCGAATCCTCATCCTAGTCCTCCTTATAATCCCTCTGCTCCTCCTGCTCCTCCTGTTCCCCCTCCTCCTCCTCCTCCTCCTCCTCCTCCTCCTCCTCCTCCTCCTCCTCCTCCTCCTCCTCTTTCTCCTCTTTCCTCACGTCTGCCCTCTCAACCTTCTTTCCATTATCCTGCGCCTCCTGCGGCCCCTCCGATCTCTCGTCCCCGCGTCTCCCTCATCCTCATCATCACCATCGCCCTCCCCTTCGTTCCCCTTCTATTCCGACCCGTTCGCCTCGCCTTCCTGCTTGTCTTCCTCCCTCTCCTTGACTTGGCCTTGGCTAGTGGTGGTAAGATGCCAGATCCGAAACACCGAGCACGCATCCTCAACAGCCATATCTATCCCTTTTCTGCTGTTCCTCATAGATCATGTCATGCCCCTCGCCCTATCCGCCCAAACACCTTCGGCGTACACTTCCTCCTTTCTTATTACCCTCCACCCTCCCCCCTCCCCCCCCCCATCCTCCAACTCCTACTCAGGAGGACGACAAGGGCGACCATGACGACAAGGACGGTGGCGACGACGACGACGACGAGGACACGACGACGACGACATCGAAGACATCGACGACAGCAACGGCGAGGACGACGACGGCCACGACGACCACGACGACCACGGCGACCACGACGACGACGACCAACCACCACGACGAGGCGCGCCGCGACGAACGACGAGGAGGCGAGCCTGGCGTGTCTGGCGTGGAAAAAAAAAAGCGCAGGCGCGGCTCCAGGTCGCGCGGCGGGGCCTCGAGCAGGAGGGAAGCAGAGCACGGGGAGCGAGGGGGGGGGGGGGGGGAAGAACGAGAGAGAGAGAGGGGGGAGGGGAGGGGAGGGGAGGGGAGGGAGAGAGCGAAAGAGAGAGAGAGAGAGAGAGAGAGAGCAGGGGTAGAGAGGACAGGAGAGGGGGAGGGAGAGAGATGGGGAGCGAGAGAGAGAGAGAGAGGAGAGAAAGGGAGAGAGAGAGAGAGAGAGAGAAAGAGAGAGAGAGAGAGGGCGAAGCAAGAACATGAGGAGTAACGAGGAACGAGGAGTGGTAGAAGGGCAAGGGGGAAAGGGGCAGAGGCAAGAAAGGACAAGGGAGAGAGGAGAACGGCGAGGATGAAGAGACGTACGACGAGGACGGGGACGACGAAGAGCGCGCGGAGGAGCGAGAGGAAAAGGAGCGGGATCCGTAAGAGAAGAAGGGAGAGGGAGAGGAAGGAGAGGAAGGAGACTGAGAGGAAGGCGACGAGGATCGGGAGGAAGACGGAAGCGCCCTTCGCCCTTCATCAGCGCAGATGCTGCCTTTGTCCGAGGTCCTGGCCTGTTGGAGAACAGCGCGAACTAAAAATACCTACAGATCGAGGCACAATGACAAAGGCAACACACAACAACAACAACAACAACAACAACAACAACAACAACAACAACAACAACCACAACAACAACAACAACCACAACAACAGCAACAACAACAACAACAACAATAACAACAACAACAACAACAACAGCAACAACCACAACAACAACAACAACAACAACAACAACAACAACAACGACTACGACAACGACAACGACGACGACGACGACGACGACGACGACTGCGACGACGACAACATCAACACCATCGACAACAACAGCAACGACAACGACAACGACAACAACAACAACAACAACAACAACAACAACAGCAACAGCAACAGCAACAGCAACAGCAACAGCAACCACCACAACAATAACACCAACAACAACAACAACAACAATCCGTTTAAGGCTGTTCGCTCCTATCTGATCGCGTGCCATTCAACACGTCTATCCCATACCCTCGGTACCCGCCCGGTTCGCTTCGATCGTACCCACTTGGCGGTATATCGTCTTCGCCTGCCACGCGCACTTAGTACAGCCCCTGAACAAGGGAAGAAAGGACGAATGGAAGGGGGAGGGAGAGGGAGCACTAGAGAGATTAGCAGGATGGGGGCGAGGACCAGAAAACTCGTGGCAGAACCGAACGGGCAAATCGGGCGGGCAGACACTAGCGGGCGGGTCGGGAAGGCAAGCCCAGGCGGCCAGGTCGAGCAGGCGGGTTGCTGAAGCGTGAGTCTTGCATGAATCGCCAGGAAGTCCCTAGCACTAGCGCAATTCCCAAGTAAATCTTGAGCAAGGCCACAGCGAGGAGCGTGATTCCTGAGTGTCGAGGGCGCGGCGTCTGAATGAATTGCGAGAAAGTCAAACGCGAGAGCACGATTCCTGAATGCATTGTGAGGAAGTCCCGCGCGAGAGCGCGATAGAGGAATAAGTTGCAAGGAAGTATCAGGCGGGAGCCGTTGTTGTTATAGCCGGGGGGGCCAGGGTCACAGTTTGAGCAGGAAGACTTTCCCTGATGAAAAATGTGGTGCGAGCCCCGAGGAGGGCACTTAAATTGGAAAAGTGTCATGTGCACTGGTGGATCAACTATGAATGTCCGACCGCAATGGCGAATTTTAAAGGAAAAACAACAGCAGCAGCAACAACAACAGCAAGAACAACAACAACAGCAGCAGCAACAACAACTATAACAACAACAACAACAACAACAGCAGCAGCAACAAAAACAACAACGACAATAACAACAGCAACAACACAAAAAAAACACAACAACAACAACAACAACAGCAGCAGCAACAACAACAACAACAACAACAACAACAACAACAACAACAACAACAACAACAACAACAACAACAACAACGACAATAACAACAGCAACAACACAAAAAAACACAACAACAACAACAATCAGTTTAAGACTGTTCGTTCTTATCTGCTCGAGTGTCCGTTGACGCGTAGTTCCCAAACCCTCGATACTCGCCCTCTTCGTCTTCGAGCGTACCCCTTTTGGCGGGTATACCTTTCTTCCCTGCAGGCTGGGCACCGGCAAGCGGCGGGGCGGCCGCGGACCGTCGGCCTGGCCAGCGGCACCGCTGATCGGCGGCAGCCCGACCCCAAGGGGGACGGACAGGGGACCAACCACGAAGACGACGACGACGTCGTCGACGACGACGGCGACGACGACGACGACGACGACGAGCTAAAGCGAGAGCGAGAGAGAGAACGACAGCAGGGCCACGAAAGGCACAAAGTAGGCCACGAAGGGCGACAGCGGGGACACGAAGGGAATGCGTATGGGGCCACGAAGAGCGCGAACAAGCGGGGGCCACGAAGGGCAGATAATAGGGCCACGGAAGGCAACGACGGGGCCACTGAGGGCAGCAACGGGGCCACGTAGGACAGCGAGGGGGCCACGAAGGGCGACAGCGGGGCCACGAAGGGCATGCACATGGGGCCACGACGGGCGCGAACGAGCACGGGCCACGAAGGGCATACGTATATTGGGCCGCGGAGGGCAAGGACGGGGCCACTAAGGGCAGCAACGGGGTCACGAAGGGCAGCGAGGGGGCCACGAAGGGCGACAGCGGGGCCACGAAATGCATGCACATGGGGCCACGACGGGCGCAGACGAGCGGGGGCCCCGAAGGGCATACATATATGGGACCACGAAGGGCAGCGAGGGGGCCACGAAGGGCTGCAACGGGACCACGAAGGGCAGCGAGGGGGCCACGAAGGGCTGCAACGGGGCCACGAAGGGCAGCGAGGGGGCAACGAAGGGCTGCACCCGAGTCCTAAATAATGTGTGAGGAGGTCATAGGCGTGAGAGCGACTCCTGAGCGCCTGAGTGTCGGGAGCGCGGCGCTTGAATAAATTGCGGGAAATTCCAACACAAGAGCGATATGAGTAAATTGCAAGCACGTCTCCAGCGAGAGCGAGACTCCAGAGCGCCGAAAGAACGATTCCGGAATAAATTCTAAGGAACTCCCAAACGAGAGCGCGATTCCTCAATAAAATGCGAGGATGTCTCAGGCGGGAGCGGGGCTCCTGGCTAAATTGTGAGGATGTCTCGAGCGGGAGCCGTTGTTGTTGTAACCCGGGGCCAGGGGCACAGTTTGAGCCTTAAGATTTTCCATATGATCAAATACTGGGTGAGAGCGCCGGGAAGGCATTTCAACTGAAAAACAAAATGCACCGTGGATGGGGATCAACACCAAAAATAGACTTCAGAGATGAGAGCTCAAAAACAACAACAACAACAACAACAACAACAACAGCAGCAGCAGCAGCAGCAAAAACAACAACAACTACGACCACTACTACGACTACTACTACTACTACTACTACTACCACCACCACCACTACTACTACTACTACTACTACTACTACTACTACTACTACTACTACTACTACTACTACTAATACTAATACTACTACTACTACTACTACTACTTACTACTATACTACTACTACTACGACCACTACTACTACTACTACTACTACTACTAACGACTACTACGACTACGACTACGACTACGGCTACTACTGCTACTACTACGACTACTACTACTACTACTACTACTACTACTACTACTACCGCTACTAATACTAACTACTACTACTACGACTACTACTACTACGACTACGACTACTACTACTACGACTACGACTACTACGACTACGAGTCCTACTACTACTACTACTACTACTACTACTACTACTATTACTACTACTACGACTACTACTACTACTACTACTACTACTACTACTACTACTACTACTACTACGACTACGACTACGACTACTACTACTACTACTACTACTACTACTACTACTACTACAGTGGAAGACGACGCGCCCCATTGGACAAACGTACACTCGGGCCCCGTGTCTCGCTTCATCCGACCTGTGGCCTCCGTAGAAGCCGCCCCCCGTGTGCTACTACATTCTCCGGCCCCGTATTTGCACTTCTCCGGAAACCTAAGGGATCCTGAGGAATCCGTTGGAATCCTGAAATATCCTCAGGAATTCTCCGGAAACCTTTGGAACCCTCACAAGTCCTTAGGAAACCTCAGAGATCCAAAAAGATCCTCCGAAGTCCTGAGGAATCCTCAGGGATCCTCAGGAGTCCTGAAGAATCTTTCGGGATCCTCTGGGCTTCTGCGGTCTCCTGAGGAATCCTCAGAACCCCCCCGGGCTACACAGAAGTCCTGAAGAGTCATCAGAGATCCTCAGAGACCCTCAGGAGTCAAGAGGAATCCTTAAGAATCGTATGGGCTTCTCAGGAGTCCTGAGGGATCCTCAAAAATCCTAAGAAGCCCGAAGCAAGCCATAAAAATCTTCTGGGCTCCTCGGGAATCCTCAGAGATCCTCAGAGATCCTCAGGAGTCCTAAGGAATCTTCGAGGCCCCTCAGGTCTTAGGAATCCTTTGGAGCCATGACGATCATTAGGAGTCTCGTGGGCTCCTCAGGAGTCCTGAGGAATCCTTCGGAATATTCTGGGCCCCTCAAGAGTCCTGAGGAATTGTTGAGAATCCTGTGGAGCCCGAAGAAATCTTTAGGAACCTTCTGGGCACCTCACGAGTCCTGAGGAAACCTTTGAAATCCTCAGGAGCCCGAAGGGATCCTAAGGAATCTTCTGGGCTCCTCAGGAGTCCTGACGAATCCTTGGGAAACCCCTGCAACACGAGATCTGAGGAATCCTCAGAGATCTTCAAGGAGCCTCATGAGTCCGGAGGAATCCTCAGGAATCCCCCTGCGCTCCGCAGGAATTCGCAAAGATCCTCAAGGACCCCAAGGAGTCAGAAGGAATCCTTCGGAATCGTTTGGGCGCCTCCAGATGCCTGAGGAACCTGTAGGAATCCTCAGGAACCGGAGGGAATCCTGAGGATACCTCAGGGATCCTCACGAGTCCTGAGGAACCCTGAGGAGTCCTCAGGATCCCTATGGAAGCCTGAGGAATCCTTGGGGCTCCTCAGGAGTCCAGAGGATTCCTTCGGACTCCTCTGCGCTCCTCACGACCCCTGAGGAATTCTCCGATATCCTCAAAGATCCTCAAGAGTCCTAAGGAATCCTGAGGAACACTCTGGGCTTCTCAAGAGTCCTGAGGAATCCTCCGAGATGCTCAGGAGTCCGAACGGATCCTTTGGAATCTGCTGAGTTCCTCACGCCTCCTGAACAATATTTAGGAATCCTCCGGAAGTCTGAAGGATCCTTACAAATCCTCGGGGTTCCTTACGGAATCCTTCGGAATCTTCCGGGCTCCCCAGGCTTCCGGAGGAATCTGTAGGAATCGTCAAAGGCCCCAAGGAATCCTTTGAAATTTTCTGGGCTCCTTAGGAGTCCTGTGGAACCCTTAGGAATCGGAATCCTCTGGAGCCCATAAGAATCCTTTGGCATCCTCTGGGCTCCTCGCAAGCCCTGAGGGATCATTGGGAATCCTCTGAGTTCCTCACGAATGCTGAACAATCCTACAAGATCCTGAGGGATCCTCAGGAGTCCTCCGGATCCCTCGAGCTCCCCAAGAATCCTCGGGAATCCTCAGAGATCCTCACGAGTCCCGAGGAATGCTGGGGAGTCTTCTGGGCTCCTCATAACTCCTGGGGAAACTTTAGGAATGCTCAGGAGTCCTAAAGATCCCTGGGGAACCTGAGGGCTCCTGGTGGATCCTGAGGAACTGGTGGGCACTAAGGGATCATGAGGGCTCCTGGGACCTCCATGGGTGGTATCCTGGGGTATCCTGAGGAACCCTGGTGGATCCTTCATAATCCTAGGCTTTCTGAAACATCCTGGAAGACCCTCAGGAATCTGATGCATCCTGAAGAACCCATGTAAGCCCGAAGGAATCCTGAGGAATCCCCCTGAGTCCTCGATAGTACTGGCGAATATCGGAAGGAAGTCCAAAGGATCCCTAAGAAATTGCATGAGAGTCCTGAAGAATTCCACTGGGTTCCCCCTACGGAATGCCATGGTACCCCTAAGGCATTTCAGAAAAGATGCTTGAGGTCATCCACTGCATGCCTGGAATCCCATACAATTCCTCAGAAACGCCATGGAATTCCGAAGCATTTCCATCGGAGTCCGAAGGAATTCCATCGGATTCCCCCTTCAGGAATTCCACCGGTGTGCCCACGCGGCCAGTCTGTGCAGGCGGGGGACTGCTGAAGCGTGAGTCCTGCATGAATCGCGAGGACGCCTCGCGCGATAGCGCGATTCCAAAGTTAATCGTGAGAACGGCCACAGCAAGGGCGTGATTCCTGAGTGTCGATGGCGCGGCATCTGAATAATTTGCAATAAACTCCCGCGCGAAAGCGCGTTTCCTGAACAAATCCTTGAGAAATCCCGCGCGAGAGCGCGATTCCCAAGAAAATTGTGAGGAGGTATCGGGCGGGAGCTGTGGTCGCGCCACACTTTCCCCGAGGAGCCTCACTTGAAAAAACACAATGGTCACCGAAACAGGGATCAACAATACGCAATATTCAGAAAAAGAACATTCAACAGCAACAACAACAACAATAACAACAACAGCAGTAGCCACAACAACAAAACACTCACGCCAACAAACAACAAAAGAAGAAATAGTGGCAAGCACAGCAAAAACAGATAAGCACACGCAACAAAAACAACAACAAAAACACAACAATAACAACACCCCCAACAACAACACCAACAACAACAACAATCACAGCAACAACAACAACAACAACCACGACAACGACAACAACGACAACGACAACAACAACAACAACAACAACACCAACAACAACAACAACAACAACAACGCCCTGCATGTAGCAAGCCATGTGACCCCATGTGGGAAACGGCCCGACCAGAAACTGCTGCAAGCTTCTAAAGCGAACGTGCGAGGCGCAGGGGCGAGAGCCCCACGTTGAAAAGGAGCCACCACCCGCCATTGAAACTGTTGCAAGCTTTCAATGCAAATGCGCGCGGCGCTGAACCGAGAGCTCCATTTACAAACCCACCACCACTCCATCCTTGAAACTGCTACGAACTTGTGAAACGAATGTCCGCGGCGCTGAAGCGAGAGCCTTCCTTTTGAATACGGCCCACGCTCCATCTTTCAAGCCGTGGCACACGTCAAATTTCAGGACCACAAGTGGTGAGGAAGTCTCGGGTGGCACGCCCGGCCCGCCCCGCCGACGCGTCGGGGGAAGTGACAGGGAGGAGCTACTTGTGAGGAGAGAGGGCGGCGACGGCGGCGTAACGGCGTCGGGCCGAAGGTCGAACTAATCGAATCGAAACCACATTCCGAGGAGCCCCACTGATGCGCGACCTACCGTGCGCGTCGGAAGACGTCGGATGGAAAACGGATCCGCGGGAGCCTCGAGCTGCCATCTCTCTACCACGACTACGAATCTCAGAGCACTTGATGCGAAAGGAGTTTGATGGCCCCAAATGGGCAAGCAGCCACACAAACGCTGTCCACTGAGGACCTGACGAGGGAGACCGCAGGCAACCAAAGTCGCAAGCTCCTCAAAAACTGTATGGTGAAGGAAGAGGAAGATTATGCGGCAAGTCATGGGAGCCTTCTGTGCCATCTTGCTGACTCTTGCGGATCGACGCCATTCGGCGCCAAATCGGCGAACCGACGCTACATCGGCACGCCCTCATCGACTACCAAGCGCCAAAAGACTGAGGCATGAGGACATACAAGCCCCCCACGATTCGCTACCAAAGGAGGAGGAGGAGGAGGAGGAGGAGAAGGCGAAGGAGGAGGAGGGGGAAGGAGGAGGGAGGAGGGAGGAGGGAGGAGGGAGGGAGGACAGAGGAGGAGGAGGAGGAGGAAGAAGAGGGAGAGGAGGAGGAGGAAGAAAGGAGGAGGAGGAGGAGCAGGCGTGGACGAGGGGCACCTGCTCCGGGGGGGGCCGCTCCAGCTCTAGCTGCCCAGCAGCGCCGGCGGGGGCGCCACGACGCTCTCCCGCCGCTTGCCGCCGAACTTCAGGCCCCTCCAGGCGCACAGCCTCGCAGCGCTGTGTCGGGGGCGACACCGACGGCGGCGAGGACGACAACGACGACGACGACGACGAGTACGACGACGACGACGACGGCGACTGCGGCGACGGCGACCGCGGCGGCGACGACGATGGCGGCGGCGACGGCGGCCGCGGCGACGACGACGACGGCGGCGGCGGCGACGACGACGGCGACGACCACGGCGACGACGGCCAGCCACGGCGGCGGCGACGACGATGGCGACGGCGGCGGCGACGGCCGCGGCGACGACGACGGTGGCGCCGACGGCGAGGGCGGCGCAGGCGGCGAGGGCAACGGCGGCGGGCGGCGGCGGCGGCGGCGGCAGCGAGGAGGGCAGCGGGCGAGGAGGCGAGCGGCGGGCCGAGCCTGCGCTTGAGCTTCTCCCTCGCCATCGTGGCCACCTCGGTTGGGCGGGGGCAAACGCCGCCGCCGCCGCCGTCGTCGTCGTCGTCATCGTCAACGTCGTCGTCGTCGTCAACGTCATCGTCAACGTCGTCGTCGTCACCGACGTCGTCGTCGTCAACGTTTTCGCCGTCAACGTCGTCGTTGTCTTCGTCGTCGTCAACGTCGTCGTCGTCGTCGTCACCGACGTCGTCGTCAACGTCGTCGTCGCCGTCTCAGTCGTCGTCGTCGTCGTCAACGACGTCGTCGTCGTCGTAAACGTCGTAGTCGTCACCGTTGTCGTCGTCGTCGTCGGTGTCGTCGTCAACGTCTTCGTCGTCGTCAACGTCGTCGTCGCCGTCGTAAGCGTTGTCGTCAGCGCTATCGTCGTCGTCATCGTCGTCGTCATCAAAGTCGTCGTCGTCTTCAGCGTCGACGTCGTCGTCAACGTCGTCATCAAAGTCGTCGTCGTCGACGTCGTCGTGGTCAACGTCATCGTCGTCGTAAGCGTCGTCGTCAGCGTCGTCGTCGTGAAGCTCCACGGCACGGCACGGCACAGCTCGACTCCGCATGGCACGCGCACGGCACGGTGACGGGCACGACTGGGCACGGTGCGCAGGCGACACGCTTCTCGCTGTCTGGGACGCGGGCACGGCACTGCACGGCACGGGCACGGTACGGTACCCAGGCGGCCCACTCGTCACATTCTAGAACGCTGAGCCCAGCTCTTACACTGCACATGGGACCCCTTATCGCACTCGCAGCTTCGGAAACCAACCTGCGACGAAAGATCCACCAGGGAAGTGGCTCGGTCCAGAGCCCGCGTCAAGGAAAAGACGACCACCTGGATGCCCAGGACACGTGTCAGGGGCCCAGGCGCTGGTGGACATGGCCGACTCCAGACACCCGGAACCCGAAAATGTTGACGCCTCGATGTTGCGTCCGCCAGCCTCTACCAGCTTTCCGTCAGCTTTCGCCAGTCATCCCGCCGCCGATTCACGGCCAAGCTGGATCATCAGGACGCTCGGTGAGGACGCAGGGGCCTCGGGCGCCCAAGTTGAGCTGCCCTGAGCGTCGTCGGCGTCGTCCTCGCCCTCGCCGCCGTCGTCGTCGTCGTCGCCGCCGCCGTCGTGGCCGTCGTCGTCAACGTCGTCGTCGTCGTCGTCGTCGCCGCCGTCGTCGTCGACGTCGTCGTCATCGCCGTCGTCCTCGTCGTCGTCGCCGCCGTCGTCGTCGTCGTCGCCAACGTCGTCGTCGTCGTCATCGTCGTCGTCGCCGTCGTCGTCGTCGCCGTCGTCGCCGCTGGCCTTCCGCCGGCCTCTGCCGAGAGTGCCGCGGTGCCCGTGGCCCCCACGCCGTTGCCTGTGGCCGCGAGCCGGTGTCCACACAGAGGCCGGGGCCCCGACCTCGGAATGGTAATGTTAAGTCGGGCGTGTCCTCTTACAGGCTGATTTTGGACGGAAAAAAATACCCAAAACATAATCAAAACTAGTCAAGAAAATAATCCAAAAATCGTCCCCAGACTATTCTGTGACAATTTGTGAACATTCCTCCTGTAGAGGGGCAGGCCCGACTTAATGGTAATGCCAAGGCCTTGAAGAGACTACGGGGTCACAGAGCGACCTTCAGAAAGTTATTCTGGGCTTCGATCAAGCTCACAGAAAGAATGATGAGAAGGAGAGGAATCGGGCGTTCGGAATGGCCGATGCCGTGTCAATTTTGGCGCGCGACCCTCAAGCGAAAGCATGCCTTATTCAACACAACACGGTTTGAGGCCGTGGAGGCTCCACGGTGCCGTGCGCGGTGTCGTCGTCGTCGTCGTCGTCGTCGTCGTCGTCGTCGTCGTCGTCGTCGTCGGCGTCGTCGTCGTCGTCGTCGGCGTCGGCGTCGGCGTCGGCATCGGCGTCGGCGTCGGCGTCGGCGTCGGCGTCGGCGTCGGCGTCGGCGTCGGCGTCGTCGGCGTCGGCGTCGGCGTCGTCGGCGTCGGCGTCGGCGTCGTCGGCGTCGGCGTCGTCGTCGTCGTCGTCGTCGGCATCGGCGTCGTGGGCGTCGTCGGCGTCGTCGTCGTCGCCGTCGTCGTCGGCGTCGTCGCCGTCGTCGTCGGCGTCGTCGTCGTCGGCGTCGTCGTCGCCAACGTCGTCGTCGACGTTGTCGTCGTCGTCGTCGGCGTCGTCGGCGCTGTCGTCGTCGTCGCCAGCGTCGGCTGCATGCTAGAGTGGCCCCAGGCGACCTTCGGTGCGCGGCTCAAGTGGGGCAACGGGGGGCCAAACCTGAAAGCGCAAGCCGCTGCCATCGCATCGCGCTCGGTGGGCCCGCACCAAAAGGGCACTCCGGAAAAGGGCCACTCGCAGGTGAAGACGACTGCCGCTCCCCCCGCCCGAGAGGCCTCGGCCCTGCGGATCTTCAGCCTCACCGCGCTGTCCTCCATCAGCCTCGCCGACATCAGGCCGACGTTGCCCGTCACCCCGCTCACCGCCTCGATGCGCATGCCAGGGCACACCACGTAGTGGAAGAGGCCCTGCTCGATGAAGCGCTGGTTCGAGGCCTCCAGCAGCCCGTCCGGCGAGACGGCCGTGACCTTCAGCTCCTTCAGGCTCTCGTGCTCCACGTCCTCCCACTCGAGGCCGAGGGGTATGGGCCTCTGCGCATCGATCTGCGCCAGCTCCTTCGGGCAGCTAAGCTTAGGTCGGGCATGTCCTCCTCCCAGCGGAGTTTAGCAGAGAAATATTGCA